AAATATTAATTCAGCGTTCTAGCTAAGCAAATAAAACATAAAATTGATTGTTTAATAAATGACAACTTGAGGATTAATTTTGTTACAAAGCTTATAAAAATATGTAATATTTTTCTCACCTGTCACGAATTTCCCAACTGAAAATTCCTGGATTTTCCGATTTATATTCCTCTATCCGTCTCTCTACATCTGGCGTGGCTACTCTAGGTTTGCTTCCTCCAATCACTCCAGGCCTAATGCTTCCCGTTTCCTGATATCTGTTCAGGATTTTCGAAACGCATCCATGGGAAACGCGTAATTGTCTGGATATAACACATGGCCTGACTCCGGCTGCAGCCATCTCGACAATTTTCAACCTTATGTGGTTGGGTAATGGCCGACCGTTGATGAACACACCACCTAACTGGTTCACCCGGCCTTGGCCTGCGCAAAAGTTTCAACTGATTATTATTACAATAAATTTAACTGCGAAAGTAACCAATGTAAAGTCTAAAAATTAAAAAGAATATTTCCCGTGAATCCTAAGCGACAATTATGTCCAACGCGTCAGTCCGTTCAAAAAAACTGTCGAAATTAATTATTTGAATTTAATTAGCTAAGATTCAGAAGGTGTTCGGAAGAATTCGTAGGTCGTTTATTATTGTTATTATCTATGATACTAATTGAAATGAAAAAGTTTTGGTACTTGCCTTGGAAAGGGTATCCGGTAAAACAAGGCCTCATCATGCCGAAGTTGGTAACTGTCATCTTTCTTTGACCGCGTTTGAAACTTTAAATGAACGGAACAACATCGATTAACTAAGATCACAAAGTTATTAGCAATCACCAAGTGAAAATTAATAGCAGTTCGATGCAATAACCATCAGCAGCGGGTTCGCAGACGGCACGTGGGAATATCCTACGGGTTAAACCTTAAGCGTGTACGAATGTTGATTTTTGTAAAAATATTTAAAAATACTATTTGAAACCATCCAAAAAAACGTACGAAATGCCGTCGCAACGATGTCCCGAACAAGACTGGAACCGACGGAGCGAACAGCTCAGTGAGGGCGTGCAGTTTGTGTACGTCGATGGGGCGTGGAGACTTTGGCTCTGTTGGCCAATGGCAGCGCTCGTTCGGCTCGGCCGGTTGAATGAGTAGTGGATGCAGTTTTCCTTCGTTATATATTATTTATTTATTAGGAGTTTTTTTTTGTTACATTTGTCGTCGTTTTTTGTGTGCCCTCAGTCGAGTTATTTTCATTAATAACAATTACATGTATTTATTAACTTTGAAATTATGTACGAATGAAAATTATCATAACGCAGGAATATTTATACTCAAGTCTCAAGTCGAAACGATGCGTTTTAATGATTTCCTTTAATGTAATGTTAGAAATCAACATAATTGACCTGTTGTATTTCTACTAGCAAATAAACTGAACGTAAATTTTCTTGTGAAATGTTCTCGAAATAAACAATACAAATTGACATTAATTTATGATGTAAGATCGATATTACATAAAAATTACCGTTAAAAAATTGTTCTCCCGAAAGAAATTTAAGATTGAGATTTCATGGTTTATATTGAATTTGACCAAAAACGTTTGTGTACACAAAATTCGACTTTAGTAATTTTGATTATGCGGATTAATTAGTACTTGAGTGTTTAAATTAATACTATAATTTAATAATAATTTATTTTTGTTTATGAATATCTAGTTATTATTTTAAATCGTCATATGGAAACTAACAGTATTTTTTCCTTATTAGAAAAATTTGTATATTATATTTTACGTTTATTTGATTTACACAAATTACCATATAATTAAAAAAGAAATTACAATGTATTGTAAACGTGTTTTATATTTAAAGATACACTTCAACCGGTCGTCAAGACGTTGTAGATTGGACAAGACGGTAAAGTCATCAAAAAATCTAGTGAATATATTGATAATGCCTACAAGAGTTGTATCCAAGTGAAAAAGATTTATAACGCGATGAAATCTAGTAGCAACAGCAGAGGTAGAAAAAATATCTATACCTATAAATAAAAAATGGTGGGTCGTGACGAATCGAAAGTAAGGACTTTCACGGGAAACGAAGCCAAACAAAAGGTTTCGAGATGTTCAGCGGACCGTGCCACGCAACGAGTGCAGCTCAATACCACACAGCCCGACAACTCGTACCGTTTTTTACCTTCTACTCTTTATAGCCTATTATAATACCTTAAATATATATAATGGCCTAATGTTATATAGCCTATTATTATTATTATTATTA